TAAGTCTTAAGGCACGTGTATCTGCACACATGTGGGCTTTAGATTCTACTCAGCATATTCTTTATATGTATGTATGTACTGGCGTGCATATCAAAAGCAAATTAAGGTCGTCACCGTTTGTCTTGCATAATGAGTAGGTGTAGCCAAATCCAAACATAGGAATTACATGCATGGAAAAACATCTTCGTAAGGTATGCATAATGGCCCAAATGTGGCCAAATGGCCTGTGTGTACCTCGATAGGTGGTGAAATTAAGTTCTCATTCGCTTGTTTGCTTACTACGGTTTGTTTTCACTTTCTGTCCTAATACGAAACAAAACGTGGTAGGCTAAAAGTCGGCTACATACTCGCACATGTCTATGTCCATTCCAATAAAAAAGTTTTTAATTTATTTAGACATGTTTTTTTTTTTTTTGTGTGAAGAACACACCTAACTTAGGCAATAAATCGCTTTGAGTTGGTTGGTCATGATAGCCACAACGACACGCTAGATAAATTTACTTATCTGCTACTCTGACGGCACAGTAACGCAATATGGTTCGTGTTGCGCTGGAAGCTAAAAGCAAACGCACACTCAAGTCAGTAGTCAACTTAAGATTGCATGCGTTTCAAGCACTTCAATCACTCATTCATTGCATTTATGCAGAAAGAATGGACGCGTGATTGGCTAGAGTTTGGTGTGTGGTTTTCATTTCATATCATTTTATTCGCAAAATTTTTACCTTATTCACGAAATGGGGTTGTATGTTATTTATTTTATTTGCAATTTTCTTTTTAAATATGTATGTAAGTATATAAATTTCGAAAGCGTCTTCAAAATCGTTGTTTTATATGTATTAAGAAGGTAATATGACACCCACAAAATTTGATTAAAATACAATAATACATTCATTAATTTTAATTGCAGCGATTCAATAAAAGGGTACTTTAATTCATTTCATTTATTTTGATGCTCATTTCTTAGTAATCAAATTTCTACGCGCTAGAAGCGATGTACTACATGCACTGGCGGTCATTAGAATAGACTCGCCTTACTTTGAAGAGTTTTGGCTATATTTCCATGGTTTATTTTATGTTTAATATTTTTTTTTATAAAAGCCTGGCTAGCTATACAACAAATACTATATAAACTGCCTTTTCAAACTTTATACACAAATTATAAAAATTCGACAAACTTTCACCAAATTTTTAAACTGTTTATTCAGAATTTTTTGGTATGCAGCTTTGTAGGCCATTCAATTTTAGAATAATAAAGTGCAAGTTTGAATTGACGACAAAATACCATTGATTTTTAAGATTTGTTTTGCTGACGGTGTCACGAATTTTTTCCCATACAAAGTGTGCTCGACAATTTATTTATATGGAAGAGAATGCCTTGCATCGTCAAAAATCTCAAAGCTAGCCAGGCTTTTATAAAAAAATATTAAATATAAAATAAACCATGGAAATATAGCCAAAACTCTTCAAAGTAAGGCGAGTCTATTCTAATGACCGCCAGTGTATTTATATTGCTTAAACACGCGCCATAAATACTTCAATTTCGTTAATGGTTTTGCGTGAATTTCATATTGTGGCTAAAATGACTAATGGCCTTATGGGTTTGCGATTGAGTGCGTATTGTCTAGCAAAATGCTTTAAGCGTCTTTAGTACTTATCTACTTCTTGTTACTATTATTTCAAAATACATATCTTTCTCATTTGCTTGCGGTTTGATAGGCTGCTGAAAATGGAATTGGTGCGTTGCAAGCATATTTGGTCGTAAACACACATATGTACATCAGTACATTCAAAACAAACATAACTTTTCCTTTTTCTAAAATGCATTATGCGTAAAATTTACAAGCACATTTTGCAAACATATTTAGTTTAGACATAAATTCAACAGCTTACAGATATATTATTACATACATAGTATTTGTATGTAGGTGTATCTGGAAAGCTGTTAAAGAATGACGCACTTCCTCTAAAAAATGGAGAATAAAATTAGTGGAATAAAAAAATTATCAAAAATAGAAATTAGACAAAGATATTATGGTAATCTTACAATTATTCAAATAGAACTTAAAATTGCCACAAGACTTAGGTACTACAAATAAAATATCAATACCAACACCGTCAGTTGTATACTCTAAACAATTTTTTTCTTAATGTGTGCAAATTTACACACAGTGCTAATTAAATTAAACACTGCCTATTTAAAATAAATTTTTTCTTGTTGAATTCTAGACACATAATTACACAGTTTTACATTTAAATTATTTTAAAATTGATTAAATATGACCTCTTAATGTTAATCTTAGTAGAGAATGTATTTTTGCGTTAACTTTTTTGCAAATTTTAAACATTTCATAAATAAAAAAGCAATCGTGGACATATTATGTTATCTAGCTGAGATATAAACTTTTTTTAGCAGTCGTTTTACATGCACTTTTTGGAGTGTCAATTATTAGTGTTTATTATTAGTAGAGAATCCCTATCCACCTACTGTAAAAATTTCAAGTACTTTGAAAAAAAAAACCAAAGTCAAATCGTTGACTTACTTTTTAATAACAATAACATTATAGACTTAATTCTAAGGCCTAAGGTCGTCCGTACTTGACCTTCAAATGACCTCGACATGATGGAGTATAACAGACCTCGTATTCGTATTCATGCGGTGGGGGGTTGGTTTTGGGGGTTAAACTACGTGTCAGTCAGTGGCGGACCCACGGGGGGTGTTTTAATATATAGACGCCATATTATACATACATATGCGCCATATTAAAACACACCCCGTGCATTGGCCACTGACTGACACGTAGTTTAACACACAAAACCCCCCCGCTGGATCCGCCACTGATTTTTCGCTTTCGTGAAATTGGCTGTAAAAATATGTCGTTTTCTAAACACCAAATTATATGTTGCATTTCTTCCGACTTCTATTGAGTGAGACGTAAATTTGCTAATTCCAAAGAAGGCACAGAAAATTCGATAGGCACAAAGTTATATCAACTTTATCATTAAGGTCGAAGCTTTGAATACCCAAAAATGTTGTATTTCAAGCTTTGCAAAATACTTAAAGAAAGTGAGCTTTGTAGGTTTTTCTTCTCTCCGTTAAAATTTGAAACACTGTATTTAAGCTCTGAAGCTTTGTCAGGGGAGATGGTTGCCCTGAAAATCAGATGGTTGCTTCAAACGATAATATGATGAAATGTGTGAGCTGGGCAAAGACAAGAAAGCAAAAACATGATTTTTCAAAGGGTTAAGTTTAACATCAAGCACATTTAGCACCGTGCAAGGGCAACATTTTTTGGTAGAAACGAAATCACTATTAGTTATTTTGCATTGATAAAATTACTGGTTTCCATTATAAAAAACGATGAGTAATTTTCAAAGAAACAGTCGTACTACTCGTAAAAGTTTTATTTAAGGTATCTACGAGTACGATTACTTTTCTGCCCTAGATGGAACATAGCCTTGGCTAAATCATATATCTACATTACGGTGGTCCTTAAATGTAGGAAGCAAATTTTTACATCAGATTTCCAAAGCCTCAACCCCTACATTCCTATGAGCGTGAGTGAATCGGTAACAAAGTTCGCGGCGAGTAAATTTTTGACAACTATGAGGTGAATAAAATTTCAGTAGCTCATGAGGCTAGTGAAATTTTTGACAAATGCATAGAAAATTTTGTGTAATTCTTCGTTAAATAAAAGCTTAAATTGATGAATCGTTTTCTTAAAATATTGATTCTATTTCAATTTGTAAATGCAAAAAAAAAAAATTAAATTTTTTAGTCCATAGAGGCATCTGGCCTTTGACTGCTTTGCGACCCGCCTTAACCGACCCCAATCGGGACCAAAATTTATATGTGATATCCGTGACTGTGGTATTACCGATTGAGGGGGTGACATTGAAAAAAATCGTTCATTTGATTTTAAGGACCGCCCTAATCTACATAAATGCATACACATTTACAAAATATTTAATATGCATTTATGCACGCGATAAATAATGCAATTTAAAATATTCTCAGCACAAGTTTTGCATTTAAATTGCATGATAATTTCGCCGACAATAGTGGCATAGCGACGATTTGTGGGAAAATTCACTTTCAAACCTATTGTAGTTAAATTTTATTATGAGATAAACTGGTTTTGGAACATAAGCTTAAATGAATAATTCTACATACATTCTAAAAGAAAGACTGAATCAATAAGACAATACGAGTACTAAATAAGTACAAAAACAATATACATATAAATACCTAGTTTTGCAATTTTTTAACAGCAAGTTTCATTGGAATACACCAATTTGTTTTATGGCATAATACGCAATTCAAGAAACACCATAATGCGATTACAGGTCTCGTATTTCATCTTCGCCAGATTTTCCGACCTTGGAGGGTGGCGCACATACTTAATATGAGCAGATTTTTCTAAAATATATATGAGCTCATTTAATGCATTGAAAATGAAACGGTCTTTTAGACTGCCACAATACTGCAGTGCTTTCCAAGCAATTGCTGGAGGTTACCCTCTCTAGACAGCGGGTTAACAATAGGGTTTTCCATGCAAATAGCAACTGGCCACGAATACTATGTTGTTGGTTGAAGGCCAGAAATGGTCTTGTATGTGCATTGCTACCAGCTAATTTCGTCGGTATTCAATGGCTGAATTTTTTGAGTCACATTAAATAACTTAAATTAATTAATTTTTAAATAATAATAATAAAAAGCTGTCAGTTGAAACTCGAACTTTAAAAATGGGCTAGTTTTATTGGTTTACATTAAAAAATTAGTCTAAAATTTCTGAATAAAATGTTTAAAATTGTGGAGAAAAATTGCTTAATTTTTATAATTTTGTAAAAAAGTTTGAAATGTCTATTTATATGTTGTGTGTTATCTAATGGAATATATTTTTATAAAGAAACGAATTTATTTTTTAATTTTTTAAGCAATGGCATACACTTATTGTGTAAAATCTTTAATAAATTCCTCATTGCTTTTTATCATCTTGCAGATCCATGCCCCCCTCATACGATCATCTGAGCTGTTATCACAAGTGAAGTTCTCGTGTGCTTGCATCCACGCATCTTTAATAGTAAGTATACGCGTTTATTTTTACAAATATGTGTATACCCAGCAAACCATACTTTAAGAGTACATAATCTGAATAGTGGAGGAGTCTTTAAAAATTCGTAAAGAAACATTATTTCCCTTTGCAATTTTTTGCTAAACTTTCTAAAATGAAATGTACTGTGCATACATTCTTTTCAATTCTTTTACAAAAGTTCGAAAACAGTGATAAATCAATGATACTAACGCTGTGCTGTAAAAATCTTTAAAGTTTTTTTTTTAAAGAAATCGAATAGAAATTTCTTTACGGATTCGTGTCAACCACATTATGAGATACTCTTTGAAAATAGAATTCGAACACATTTCCGATGCTCTTAAAGATATCGTTCAGATTTTGGAAACTTGTGTATATATACTAACTATATATATAATAGTGCGGGTCAATTTGTATGCATAGGAGGATTATACTTATGTGTAATTCTAAGAAAATTTGCCAAAGATACCATCAATTTGGAGTTTGACAAATTACGAAAAGAGTTTTTTTTTACTTAGCATTTTGCTGTAGTGCCATAACGAAGTGCTTGAATTAGTTTTTTGGACAGAAATAAAAAAGAGTGTGAAAGTACTTTTCCACTGATACCTCATGAATCTAAATCGGAATAGCTTTGGCCCAGTTATTAAGTTTTTCTTAAACCATTATTTAAAAAAGTAAAAAAACAGCATTAAAAATCTCAATATTACGATTCCGATAAAAAGATGTTTAAATATTTTTATGCAGATATTTAAAGATTGAACTATCATCTGATTGAATTTTTTTTTCAAAAAGTTCAAAAAGATTTTACACCCATGGTTTCTTCGGCAAGTTTGCTTAGAATTACACGTATGGCATATAGTCGCAAAAAATTGAGCCCCCCTAATATTTACATATATGTTTACATTCATTTACTATACGTTTATGTATACGTCTGACACAAATCAAACAGCAACACACAAAACGAAGTACTGAATAATAGTCATTAGCGTAAAACGTAAGTAAATTAGGATTTTTACACAGAGGCAAAAAAATAAAATAAATTAACTCAGTTTGTTTACAAAAGTTACTTCCTGTTAGATCAGCACCATATAATATTTATCAGCGTACGTATACAGGTATAACCAAAACTACTGTATGTCTTCATCCACCTCATAAAAGCACCATAAATTACTAATGGCTTGGTATATTGGCTAATTTCATAAAAGTAACGGCCGCAATACCAAACAATGAGCGAACGTTTGTCTGGGGTTTTTTTTGGCCTGTAGCCGACGCTGCGTATGAGTAACCTGACAGCGGCTCATTGTTGGAGTTTTTGTGTGTATTGCGAAAATGCAAATATTTGCCTCAAACGAATGCGTACGAGTGCATGGGCCGTAAATCGCACCAAAAATGTGAGTCGATTGCAAATATGCAAATTTATACGATGATTGTTTTGCCGACTGGCAGACGGCGTATTATCTCAGTTTACTTCTTTAAGACAATTCTTCTATATTACCTTATTCTTATTTTTTTAGATGCAGGTGGCTCATCATTGTTTCTTTTCGAATTTCATAACCATTGCAACTATTTATGTGGTATCGAACCTCTATTATGTGTGTATCGCTTAGTTCTACCTGTTGCCTATTCTTCATGTTTTTCTTCATATTCATATTTTTTTTTGCCATTTTTCACGTACCGCTATAAAAAGTTATGAGGTCGTTTGAGTTAAATGCGTCGCCGGAATTGCCGGCCGCATTGTGGCATGTAATAAAAGTACATACGAGTATGTATATGCAAAGAATCAAAGGCTTATTCAAAAAAGCACACACAGAAGTGGTATATACTTGTATACATATAATCGAAGTTCGGCATTAGTTAATGAGGTAAGCGACGGGTAAATCACTGTTAGTTGGATTAATGAAAGTACATAATTGAGTGAGTGTAAGGTTGTTCTGTTGTAAATGCTTTATAGAATTTCCTTTTTCGCATTATACAAGTATTTTAATTGCGTATAAAAAGGCGAAAAAAAGTTTATTCGAATGTATATCTTATATATGTACATACATATAAATGAATAAGTAATCATTCCGTATTAATTATTTACATCTAGTAAAATGTACATGTTTCATCTTTTCGAAGCTATACATGAAGAAACTAAACTTCTTGACACAATGTTCAGAACTAAACAAAATTAATATGATACCCGTGAGGTACCACCTTTCCGATAAAAAGGATAATGGAAAATGGTTCATGCGGTAAAAAGGTATCCCGCAACATACCGTCGCTTGGATAAAAGATTGTCGCAAGCGACATATTGACAATTTTTAGTTACAGCAGCTTATAGATATATCCTTTAGTTGTCGTTAATTTCGTTAATTTGGTACACATTTTTATCACATTTTGTCGTAACTCATACAAAGTGGCTGCCATATTGTTGACAAATCTCACATACGACAAAATTGTTCTAAAGAAATCCTTCATATACTCAAAACTAATTAACAACAAGCAATGAAAATTAAATAATTTAGGAATTTTGTGTACTAGTAGCATTCTCCGAGACTTCAATCGCGATTTCCCAAAACCTACATAAAAAAATTATTCCTATTAATTGATGACCTCCCTTTGAATTCGGCCAATAAGAAAAACTAACAATACGATCAGTTTAACCTTCCAGCAGACCCCACATTTATATGACATCTTATCTGAATGTAAATTTTAAAATTTTTCCGAATCCGAGGTAAAAAAAAAAACCGGTTAAAAAATAATATTGATTTTGAAACTACCTTAAAAATATGCCACTCCGAATTGAAAAGCCTGATTTTTTTATGAATATTATCTACATATTTCTTAAGTTATCTTCATTTTTAACCAACGTTCAGAATTAGTGTCTCTTATAAATTTCATTTTTAAAGTCAAAACAGGTTCTATGAGGCTCCAATACATGTCGAAGAAAGTCATAAGTTTACTGGCGAATTGTTCCCTTTTGCAACTTTACTATTTTCTAATGTGTTAAGCACCGACATATTTATATCTCTTTAACCCAAGTAAGAAACCAAAGGAAGGGGATTCATCCACAGACTTATCCTCTCCATTAAATTTAACGGCTATATATCTCAGTCGTATCAGTTCTGTCTCAGTAGAAATATCTGACTACAAACATTAACGCCTTAGTTTTTATATTCATACGGTCCAATTTTCCAATTTTATTAGCAGTGCGGCCTAAAAGTACATAACATGAAAAACTAGCAGCGGCAAAGCGTAATCAGCCAAATCTGGTAGTAGGAGGGACATGTTATTAGATGATGCCTGCTATTCTCTTTGAGGTTTTTGGCCATCAAAATTAGATTTTCACAATCTCACCTCAGACTTTTATTTTAAGATTTCTATAGATATTTGATTAGCACGTCTACGCACGAGTGTGTGTTCAAAATATACATTATTTTTATAAATTTCCTCAACAGTGGTGGCAAAAATAAAAGGTTATTGGTTTATGATAAATTATCTAATTTTTTTTCTAAATTTATTGACAGATTTTGCAAAGCGAAATTACTATTTTCTAACTTGATTTGTTTATAAATTACGAATGAACCCTAAATTACGATACCGTGAACATGTATGGAACAAATCGAAAGAGCCTTTAATTGAAAATATCGCGTTGCTTTTTTCTTATTATAATTAAATCCCCTTCGTCATGCAACCACACTTTACAAAAATTAGGTGATTCCGAAAATCAAGTAATTTCTTTTTATATGGACACGTTTTCGAGATATTTGCAATTTACCGTTATATCTAACGAACCAATTAGTAAATCGTAATACGAAATACGCCAAACGAAAGCCAATGAAGTTCTCCATAAGCCGCGTATAGACCACTTTTCGATAGGCCTGATAGTTTCTTTTTATTGTGTCCCTGTTAAGGTTGGAAGTTTTTAACTTTTTCATAAAAAAAATAAAAAAAAATAAAATATTTTTTTTTTTTTTTTTAATATACCACGCTTTTATTAATTCTGCACAGGACATCCATTGAACATTTTAGTTGTAAACCAGTGTAATCAATAAATGTCTACCAGTGCAGAAAAACACTTTGCATATTTGCAAGTACCAATAGGGGGGCTTGCAGCTTTACAAATTACATTAAATGAGCAGTTTCCCAATGAAAAATCTGTTTTCCTTTGTGTTCTTTTAAACATTTACGGCTGAAAAGAAAATAATTAAACTGTCTGACATTTCTTTGATATCGCCAAACTGTCGCCGGAAGAACACAGTAGGGGCAATTAACCGTTGCGAAATGTTGTAGCTGGTAAAACTTTGTTTTTACATTCATACACAACTACATTCATATGTAAATAATTAAGTATATACATATAAACATGTGGCTATATAACGTTAAATAAAGCTTTAGGATATATGTACACAAAAAGTGATTGGTTTACAGTTAATAAAATGCTTTCCAACGTACACAAAATTGAAACAATTAAAGTGAGATTACTTCACCAAATTGGTGACAACTAGTTGGGCCTAATATGAAGCGGTATTACAAGGTTTTAAATGCCTCAAAGTACATACATATGTATGTTTTAAAAGTCTGGCCGTGAAGTTCACTTCTGGGAGTTAGCTCTATTATTCCACTCAGTGCTGAGTTACCCAGCACTACTCGTAATGACACCTTGCTCAAGAGGCAACTATGGGCTATCTAATAATTTCACAAAACATTTCCCGAGGCTACTTCAAAGAAAATTAAATTTAAATTTAAAATCATAACTTTCAATTCAAACATACCTACATACATATATATGTATGTATGTGCGGTAGCATGCGAGTAGTTACCAAAATTTCCCTTTCACTAACACATTTTGTCACATCGACCACAATTGGCGAAGGAAAGTGAAAACGTGAAATACGGTAAAATGTAAACAAATAGAAAAATGCTTCACGCAAAATAGTTAAGCCGCTAATTATTGGAGCTTTTTGCAAAATTATAAGGAAAATATTGATTTCACATGCAGTCAATGCC